GGAAATAGGAATAAGAAAGGAACTCTCTCCCCCCATCTTCAGTTCTAAGCAGCAGGACCCAAGTGACAGCTCTTCCCATCCCATCCACAATTCCATAGGATTTCTCCCTTTGATTTGTCATACCAAAGATCATATATTGCGCAGTTACTAATTCAGGCCAATAACAAAAGCTTAACTAAGACTAATGCAATAATTTTGAAATATTAATTTTAATGTCTCTAGTATAGAGGTAAGACTGCAGGCCAGGGGAGCAGGAGATCTAGAAAGAGGTTGGTTACGCAGAAGTTGGTTCTTGGTTTCTGCATAATGCATCCTAAAAGTAAACTTCACTTTATGGAAAAGACAGCTTCTATTAAATGTAGCTCTAGTGACATCTATGGGCACCTTCCCTTTTGGGCTAACAGCAGTTTCAAGGCAGTGAAGTTTGGCTGAACCGTGATTATGCAGTCCAGTCTGGATCTTTCCTATTCCATTGCTACTGTGGAAAGACTGAAAACTTCACATGAAACACAGATGAATTTTTAACATCACTCTTTTTGACCTGAACATTAAACAATGACAAATTGTGTATAAAATCATAGTTAGTTGGTCCTGTTGTGTGATCTGCCAAAATCTGAAAGATTATCTTGTTCTGGCAGCCCAGATAAGCTGCAAACATTTATGAAGTTTATCAAGTTATCTTGGAATATCATAAATAACTTGTAAGCTGGGATCCGGCTAGTGGATACTAAGTTGCTCAGGCCTGATATAATTAAAACCGATTCTCCATAGAGCACAATGTATTTTGAATTCACCCATACAATGTTAATATTCATATAATGTTAATATATTCAAATCAACTGTTCTACAGTTTTTTAAAACTGCTTTTGTATATATATATATACATACGTGTGTGTGTGTGTGTGTGTGTTTGTTAACAATTGTTAAATCAAAGCAACAAATATATGGCTTCTTTCCTTCTAGTTTTTGGAGAATAATAAGAGCCAGTTTGGTGTAGTGGTTAAAGGCACCAGGCTAGAAAGCAGGAGACTGTGAGTTCTAGTCCTACCTAGGCACGAAGCCAGCTGGGTGACCTTGGGCCAGTCACTCTCTCTCAGCCCTAGGAAGGAGACAATGACAAACCACTTCTGAAATCTTGCCAAGAAAACTCCAGGGACTTTTCCAGGCAGTCACCAGAAGTCGAGACTAACTCAAAGGAATATATATATTCCTTTATATATATATAAAGCAAGGCAAAAATGGCTTGTAAGCTGCCTGGCAAACAAAGGGTTCAAGTTACTGTGTTTGGGGAATGGGTTAGGGCAGGAGATGAATAAACCTGTATGAGATGCAGTTGGACAACAATGGCTCACAGATTGAGCCAAGTCTGGGCTTTTTTCAGCCATGCGAAAAGCCATCAGATTCCTAAAATAGCCATGAGAGTCTGATAAAACTGTGATGCTATTTTTTGTTGACAGCCTAGAAAAGTAACCGGTGAGAATCAAGCTTTTTAGTTTAGGTTTTAGTTTTAGCTTTTGACATTTACATCAGGTTAAACACATACTGTCTTTCACTTCCTAAGTAAGCCATCCTTCTAGGGTGACCTTATTACAGTTTGTGAGTTGTCCTACTGGGACGCAGTACATTCAGAACCATCTTACTTATTTTATGTTATATATTATTAATGCATGTTAGTTCTCTTATATCGGTAGCTCTCAGAAAAGTACATGGTAATAACAGCTAAAAGGGAAATAATCAATTGAGAAAGTTCAAGACAGCAGAGATAAAGATGAGTAACAGAATTCATTGCTAAAGAGAAAATTAAAAAATGGAAAGCTCCAGTATAATAATAATAAATTATCTCTTTATCTCTTACTGACAAGATAAAGTATGCACCAAGAATACTTACCTGGGAATGCAATCAAGGAAAGAGCCCTGCCCAGGGTGCAATTGCCGAAGGATATTACAGTAAAGGCTCATTTCCAAGTTGTCATGATCTGCACTTCAGCATGAGGTATTTGCAACAGGGACTCCATAAATGACCATAATATTCATTTAGGAATATGCTAGTTATCAATAAATTGTTGTGGAATATAATTTATGTTTGTATGATTTGTTTGTCCAACTTGATGTGAAGTCAAGTCACTGTGGAATGGGGTAATTTGGGGAATGTTTTAACCCACCTGAAATAGGATGGGAATCTTTAACTCACCATATATCCAAATCAATAGGTTCTGATAAAATATGTAAGTGTAATGGTACAACAGAGCCCATTTCCTCTCTCAGAAACCCTCTGGGTCTACACACCTTACTTCTATTTCCAATCTTGGTGTAGCAGCTTTTTTTAAATGAATTTTATAAAGACATTATAATTGATAATGCTTGATAGGAACTCATATATAAGCTGTAACAGTTTTATATAATGTAAATTGTAGCATTATATAAAACTTACAATTTTGATAATCTGTAGATATTGATAAATCTAAAAACTGAC